GGCAGCATAATCCTTCAGAGGGAGATTTTGGGGTCCTCCATCCATTCTTGGGTCAGAAAGAGAATATTTAGGAAGATTGAGTTCGGGAAGATTGTATTTGGTTTGGTACTCTCTAATTCGGCGTCTTATATTAACAAAATGCTCGACCTCATCGATTGGTTGCTCTAATTCCTTGCCTTGAGAGCGAGTGCTTGGCATACAATCAACGGATAAAAATAAAATAAAATTGGTTTCCTTAGTCTATACTGCATAATAAGGGATTTATAGTATTCACTAAATCAGATCCCCGGAAACAGCACCAAAAACTTGATCACGACTTTATGAGTCTATTGGGTGTAGCGACTGCAAGTGCACAGTCTTATCGCGTAGTTTTAAAAGATATCGAACCCACAAGGATTGATGATCAAACTACTGTTATCTTTAGGTCACTGTATAAAGCTAAGGCTAATTATAAAATTTGAGTGCTTAAGTTTAAACGGGAATTAACAAATCTAATAATTAATAACGAGACAACGGTATGTAATTTGTCAACTTCAGAGATTCAATAAGTCATTGGCATTGTTTTGAGTATTAAAACATTGTTTAATAGAAACTATTTATTTAAAAACCCCTGTCTCATACTTTCGTTCTATCGATTCAAGTCATAATATTAAACTCAAATGAGCGTTCTCGCTGTTTCATTTAAAATTCAAAAGTATTTTTTGAAAAAAATAGAGTCCAATTAATTTTAAAGCGCTCTCGTTGTTTTTAAAATTAATGTTTGATAACCATTATATGGTTAAAACCTCAAACTCTCGCTCTATTAATTTTAACCTTAGACTGTCTTTTACTCTCGTACAAATACAATAAAATATCCAAATTGGAAATCAAACCCAGAAAAATGCTTTTATAAAATATTAATGTCAGTTAATTACCGAATCCCTTCGGTTTAAGATTTCACATACGGGTAGCAGGGAATTTATCCAGACATAATTTTATTACAGGATAACATAAAATTAAAATATAAATTTAATAACACATACACGGTAAGAATAAATAAATTATACTTCGAATAGGAACCTGAAATAAATACTTGAAGCAAAATAATTGAGCAGTGTGTATCATCCACAAGCCGACAGGATTGACTTGTAATAAAATGTCTTGAATTAATAAAAATGAACCTAAACGAATTATGGAAGTTAGGAAGAAAACTAAAGTTGTGGTATTCCTCTGATGTGAAGAAATACTTCTTTAGTGGTGAGGGTTTTCTATGCTTACAGGAATTCTAACAAACTGGAAATTAAAATAACAAAAACTACAAAACTGGAATAATAAACGAAAATTGTAAAATCTAGAAAAATAGAGAAATTGCAGTAAGTAGAAGAAACAATAAAATTGGTGCAAGGCTTCAGAGACGTTTAAAGTTGGTAATTTACTTCTTTTTATAGATTCCCAAATGGTGAGCAAAAATAGGAAGAATCCCCTTGATCCTCGTTCTTCAATCGTGGAGAAATTCCAGCCAACTCCCTGCTTTGTCCGCTTCGTGGAGATATTTCCGTAGCAGTTATATGGGTTGTCACGAGCGTCATGTGCGCTGTGGCGTGAGGCATGAATCTTGAATTCGTGTCGGTCGGGACATGAAGTGTGCCAAGGAACACACTTTTACAATTTTTGACGGGAGACACGCCTTCTTGTACAGAATGTGTTGCTAAATGGACATTTCTTCTTCATTTTTCCATTATTTTTCTTCCCTTTCTCATTTATGCTTTGCAAAAGCTAAGTACCTGAAATATGCTGCAAATACTACAAATAGAGATAAAATATGACATAATAAACGAAGAATCAGAAGTTTTATCTATGTAAATTGGGTGGAAAATGCTATAACTTTTCGTGTTATCAATTAACTACGAATTATGTCTATGATTACGCAATTTTCAACCCATACTTAGTTCAATGATTAATTCAAAATATTTCCATAGTCCATAAAAAAAACTAACCAAACACTATGAACGACGAATTGAGACTTTGATTCCTCATAAGAGGATACATAGGCATACGACTTAAAAACCGTGACGAGTTCCCCTAGTTAAAAAATTAAACCCTATTCCTAAACCTTAAACCTAAACCCTAGTATCCTTATGAACAAGGTAGATGAAGGATGCCTAACACATTCTCTTCGTCTAAAGTGAGTCAAGGCTTAGAATCTCTATATCATCAATTAGGATTATTCCGTTATAATTCCTGTCTTAGGATAAAAATTAATGGTGGTGACTCTCATACTTTTTGCCAGTTACGATAAATGAGACGTTGGCAGTGTGAATGTATCTAATGCTTTGTAAGGCGGTGTTGGTTTGGGGGTTTCAATTCCTTTGCTTAATAAGGAAGTAGTTGTCAAGGTTAAGGAGGTTGTGTGGTTTCTTATCGTTCAAAATATGTGTTTATGGAAGAAGAAAAATTGTCTTTCATGGAGGTTGAAGATGATGGTGACTTGGTCTCTAAATTACAAGGCACATATCTCTTTGCATATGGTTGGGAAGAGTTAATTTAAAAAGGTAATGGTAATGGAGAAAAGTGAAATTCTGACACTTGCAATACAGATGTTTAAGACTGATGTCCGTACACTACAGAATATCAAGATAGATGTTAGAACATTTATTGACAGAACACTTGCTAAATCTGGAGATTGTGCAAAAAAATAAATTGCAGAAATTTAAACAACACAATCAATTGTTAACTCAGTTATGTGCAACGCCACCTACTCTGGAGGCTACCCAACCAGGAAGGATATTCACTATAATATTATTAGTTCAAAGCTAAACCAACTCTAAATTACAACTTCTCTCCTAATCACTACCTTGTACAATTTCTACCCAGACACCTCTAGATATGAGATCCCGCTCTCACTTTTAATCACCACAATGATACCTACAGTCACAATCCAAGTGACAAGAATCAAAAAACAAATAAAAGATCACACTTCTAATACAATACTTAGATTTTCTTAAAAGCATCAACTAAGAACAATACTCAACTCTTTGCTTAAAAGCTTATGAGTGAGAACAATCGGTCTACCTTAATGTATCTAAAGATACGTGAATTGCATACAAATAACAAAAACACAAAGACCTTAAAAGACTCTCAAAACCATAATCCTTATGTTGCACCTACTGTTTCTTCAATGTGAACGCTTGCTATTTTAGGTTTAGCAAGTCCTTATTTATAAACTCTTGCAGTATGGGCTTTGACTCTTCAAATCAAATTCAATATTCTGTTTAAAATCAGCTGTGAGATCTTCACACAAAAATAGGAACAAATCTTTTAAAGTTTCTTAAAAAGTCTCCAAGATCATTTTTAATGAAACCAAATCAAATTTACACTTGTTCCTGATAAATCTCATTGACCTGCACAAAATAATGAGATATGTCTAAAAGGATCACTCAAAATAAAATCAAATATTTCAAGAGATATAACAGCAGTCATACTACATAACAGGCTAAGATGTCAAGACATCTGACTCAACATTTGTTTGATAAACATGACAGTAGAACCTATCATGACAGTTGGTCAAGATGTTATAACATCCTGTACAACATCAGTTCATAATTATATTTTAACAAAAGTTATGTCAAACCTAAAATCATATATTTTTAAAATAAAAAAAAGTCTAACCTACTGTGCCATATCCCTAGGTCGGTTGAAATGGTTAAAGGTCGTTGTAAACCTGTTTCTTTATTCTCTTTGAGGGAATAAGTACAACTTTGCTTTTTCGTTGTAAGTCAACACTGGTGATGGATAGATAAATTTTGACGCAGAGGAGGGTTTTTTTTTCTTCACATTGAGTTTAGGGGTGTGCATGGTTACTATATTTTAAGAACCAATCCATTTTAATGGTTGTAGTTTTAAAACTAAACCATTTTTTATAATAACCAATTTAAAATTACAAAATGGTTTCAATTCGGTTCAAAACCGGTTTAAACCGGTTTTCAATCAAAATTGATTTATAAAGAAATTGTATCTTTCTTAATTTGAAGAGACAAAAAAAATGCAGGTTAATGAAGGGAACAACATACAAATGCATGTGTCATTTTTATACTATTATATTCAAACACCAGCACAAATCGTTTTTCACAATTTTTTTGAAAAGCAAAAAAATAAAATTCAATTTAAGAGTAAAAACATTACACTTTAATCTATGATAAAGTTGCACCAGAACACTAAAACTAGAACTCAAAAAAACTAAAACAAAGCATCCTAAAACCAAGACAAAATCGGCTTCAAAACAATTGCTACACTATAACAGTTAAACAAAAAAACACAGATTAACAATCGTTCATCACAATTAACTTAATAAGCTCTTCTTCTCTTAACTAATCACCACTCTAATTAACTAATTAATAATAAATAAAATAAAATATATAAACTAGTTTTTCATTTTCAATTTGAATATTATATAAATTGGTTTACACGAATTTGAATTTCTTGTGTCTTAATAATATCTTATTCACTAATAATAATATCATATACATTTGGTTTTATGTATGACAACTGGTTATCAAAAATGGAAACCAGATTTTTGTTTTGATATCAAAATGGATCTGGAGCGGTTCACATCCAACACAAATTGGATTATAAAAATTGGTGCACTGAATTTTTAAAATTGATTCGTGTAAACCAGTTTTTTTGCACACCCCTAATTGAGTTATCACGTTTTGGAGTTTCTCCTCTTCATACACCAAAGCACGTGTCTTCACAATCTTACACGGGTCCATTGCTTTCACTTGAATTTCCATTGCATGGGATATTTCTTAAGTCCAAATACTCTAGCGCAACTTTTCCTCACGTTGGCCATTAGTCCTAGAAAATTCCACTTCCTCACGTGAGTCCTTGGACATAGCAAATGGCAGTCAATGTGGTACAAACT